TGTCGAGAATGACAGTCAAGGGAGTGGTGCTCATCAATGGACAGGCAGTAAGTGTGGCGAAAATAGCATCCATTTCCGCTTATATACAGCAGAGAAATTTGTTTCACGAAGTGCTCACTGTCCGGGAACACCTAACTTTCCAAGTATACCTTATATTTTTTTGTAATTTTTTATAAAATTTATTCAAATTCCTTGTATTTTAAGGCTTTATTACGATTGGATAGGAATTTAAGTAGAGCTGAGAAAATGGCATTTGTGGAGAAACTGATCAAGAAGGTTTACAAATATTGTCCATATCTTCTATTAAATAGTTTATATTAAAGAAAATCTTGTACAGTTTGCTTTAATTAAATATTAAAATCTATTTAATTTCAGTTTAATCTCACAAAATGTATGGACACTAGAATTGGGGGTAAATTTGCGTTTAAAGGCATTTCCGGTGGAGAAATGAAAAGACTGTCCTTTGCTTCGGAGGTGTTAACCAATCCGTCGATAATGTTTTGGTAAGAAATAGACATTTATTTGGATAAAAATTTTTCTCAAATAATTCAATGAATGCATTAGCGATGAGCCGACCACTGGTTTGGACTCATTTATGGCCGAAAACATCGTACAAGTGCTGAAGACTATGGCATCGGAGGGCCGGACCATCATCTGTACTATACATCAGCCCTCGTCTCAAGTGTTTGAACTCTTCGATAATCTATTACTTATGGCCGACGGAAGGGTAGCTTTTATGGGAACCACTGGTATGTCATAAACTAGTATTCAATATTCAAATTATTTCTAATCCATTGATATATTGAGGCGAAGCCAAGGATTTCTTCTCATCTCTCGGATACGTAAGACTTGAATGACTTTTTGAACATTAATTAACAAAAATAATTATTTTTAATACTGACTTCATTAGGACTGTCCCGAAGATTTTAATCCATCCGACTATTACATCAATGAGCTGGGTTAGTACTTAATTACTGTATAAACCATTAATACTATCATTAAATTAATACTTTACAGCCATAAGAGGCACTCATTACAAAGAAAACAAAGCGAAAGTCAATGTAATTATTCTCCATATTTGCACAAAACTATTCAAATAAATAATCATAAGTTTTATGAAATATACAGAAAATATGCGACAATTATCTCGAATCTGATTATTACAAACAATTTAATGTAAAAATGATTGAAAACGAGTCGCGAAACACAATCACCGACGGAGTCGATACAGACTTAGCCACCATTGGGTCCACTTATAGTGTTGGCTATTTGAGACAGACCCAAGCGATTATGTGGCGCACCTACCTACTCATTGTCAACCACCCGCAAACTGTCAAGCAACAAATTATTCGTTCACTGGTCTGATTATAATTTATAAATATCCTAATCAATGCCATTTCATTTTCACGTGTCTAATCCATGTTTAAACTGTAGTTTATGGCACTCCTGTTTGGAGTAGCATTTTATCAATCGGGCAAAAACATAGCAAGCTCAAAAGTCCGAGATATTAATGGTTGCCTCAATCTAATTGTGCAATTCAATTCCACCATGGTCGCTCCCATGTTATTAAGTGTAAATTAGCTAGTTTAGATTTTTGTTTTAAGAAAACTATTATTACACTTCTATTAATTTATGTTATAATATACATTAATTCAAACAAGAACTTTAATTATGAATATTAATCACGTTTCAAAAATTATAATCACCAGAACTTTTACCAGGAACAACCAGTATTTTTAAGAGATCAGAAAAGTCATTTGTACGGCATATTACCATTCTTTGTGGGCACTTATATCATCAGGGTATAGATAAATAATATCGAATATTCCAAATACTATATAATGCACATTGTACATATGTAACATTTTAAACTTAATTATTTTTATACAATTTTTATGCAAACAGTTAACGTTTTTCGCAGTTTTCTCGGTAATATTTATATGCATTGTGTATTACATGGTTGGTTTGACTTCCGGCCCCCAAGAATTCTTTATATGTATAGGCTTGGCTGCGGTACTTATGATAAGCGCCGGTAGTTTCGGTAATTGTACACTACATTCTTATATTAACAAATTATGTAACGCTTACTATGTTAGCATATAACACTTTAATTAACATTTGTATGTATTTTAAATGAAACTAATTACTAAACCATTACCAAACACCAGGGTTTGTCATAGCGAGTATGTGTGAAGACTTTCAGACCGCCAGTGCCATTCTGGGCTCATGTATCACACCATTGAATATATTAGGCGGTTTCTACATCAATGCCCTGTACAGTATATAAATATTGTTTAACCTAATCTAACCTTGGTATATTTATAATTTATACTTGCACATCTACTGTAGTGGACTAAAGTCGTGGTGCGGTTGGATTAGATACCTATCATTCTCGTACTACGGATACCAATCGCTGATTGTGAACGAGTGGCGAAATATTGATAATATTACCCAGAATAGTGACATGGTCAGTAACAGTTACACGAGTGGGATCGGTGTCATTGAATCCTATGGTTTCAAAGTGGACGCCCTAATGTGGTGTCCCTTTGCACTCATGGCTTTATGCGGTCTATACGCCACCTTTGCTTACATTGGTTTACGAATTAAAGTAAAAAATTCATAACCAGATCATTTAGTTTTAGCTAATAAATTTATGAATATTATAAGTTATATGAGATATTTTATTTTATAAATTTATTATATTAACTATGCAATATATTAGTTATATTTATCATTAATAAATTACTATGTTTATGATATTATCTTAATTAAAATAAAACAATATTAAATGTTTGAATTAAGTTTAATAAAATAATATGGGGTGAGAGTTTATAAAAAAAAAGTTAATTATTTGCTGTAAAAATTATGTATGTTTAAAATTATTTAATTTTATTATATTTTAAATACTGTATATTACAATAATTTTTAAAAATGTATTTACCACATAAAAACTGCATATTAATATGAATTGCAATAAACTGCTAAATATGGACGTAATGAAAATATCTAAACGAAAATAATAGGTTATAATCAATTGCTTTAGTAATAAGCAATTTACTTAAATAAATGCGCACAGATTTAATATAATAAATGAGTTATAAATATATATAAATATATAATGAAAGTTGTGTTAGAATTAAAAGAAATGAATGGACAGGTAGGAGATGTCATACAATCGGTGTCCTTGTCATGGCTTAACATACATGTGATGACAAAACCACAGAAGTCTATATATAATCTGTACAAAACTAACCAAGCTCCCAAAGAAGTCTTAAGAAACGGTAATAATATTTAATTATAAGTAAATTTTAATTAATTTAAACATAACAATTAACACTATATTAACAAGGACAAAATTTTATATTGCTAATTCTGCTATTTGTTAAAAGTATCCGGTGAAGCAAAGGCGGGACAATTATTGGTTATAATGGNGTGCTCACAGATTTAATATAATAAATGAGTTATAAATATATATAAATATATAATGAAAGTTGTGTTAGAATTAAAAGAAATGAATGGACAGGTAGGAGATGTCATACAATCGGTGTCCTTGTCATGGCTTAACATACATGTGATGACAAAACCACAGAAGTCTATATATAATCTGTATAAAACTAACCAAGCTCCCAAAGAAGTCTTAAGAAACGGTAATAATATTTAATTATAAGCAAATTTTAATTAATTTAAACATAACAATTAACACTATATTAACAAGGACAAAATTTTATATTGCTAATTCTGCTATTTGTTAAAAGTATCCGGTGAAGCAAAGGCGGGACAATTATTGGTTATAATGGGTGCAAGGTGGGTTATTAATTTTAACAAAAATACAACCTACATACTTTTAAATTAATTTTTAAAATTATGGCATTCAGTGGCGCCGGTAAGACCACTCTATTGAATGTATTGACCGCAAGGGATATGTCAAAAGTGTCAGTCAAAGGGGTGATCCTACTAAATGGACAGGTAGTGAAAGCGTCAAAAATTGCATCCATTTCCTCGTATATACAGCAACAAGATATGTTTCAGCCATTGATTACAGTCCGGGAGCATTTAATATTTCAAGTAAGTCTCATAATTAATAAAAATAAATAAAAATCTATTTCAATGTATGAATAATATTCTGCAACTATAATGAAGTCATTGTTACGAATGGATCCGAAAATGAGTAAAAACGAGAGAATCGATTGTGTCGAGCAAGTCATGAAAAAGGCATTCATAAAGCATTTATGTCTTCATATCATTTATTAAAGATTTAATATATTTTTCAGTTCAATCTCACGAAATGTATGAACACTAGAATTGGGGGTAAATTTACTTTTAAAGGCATATCCGGTGGAGAAAAGAAAAGACTGGCCTTTGCTTCAGAGGTGTTAACCAATCCGTCGGT